CTTAACTGTATGGCAAGACTAAGCAATTCCTCTCTGAAATTCTTCTTCTAGAATGAAGCAGAATTAGCTCATTACGGCAGTCTTATTGATTGAAACTTCTAAACAAAATTAAGAAGAATTTATAAAATGTCCTTATGTTAGCAATACATATTGATGCTTTTATGGGTGAAATGATATAATGTCTGATGTCTGGGATTTATTTTTAAATACTCCAGAAAAAAAAAAAAAGGTAGGTGGAGGAGAGGTGAATCAAGGTTAGCAAAACGTTGATAATTCTTTTTTTTTTAATTTATTAAATTATTGGGATGACATTGGTTAATAGGATGATAATTCTTGAAGCTGAGTGAGGGGTTAATTCCTTCTGTTCTACTTTTGGATGTGTTTGTTAAATTTTTGTAATTAGCATGTTTTTAAGTTTAAAAAAGAAAGGAGATAAATTTAAATGTAGAAGTAAAATGAACATCACATCTTCCAGGATATAACAAAAGTAGTCTATAGCCAATAGACATAGGTAGCATTTCACACAGCAATGATTGTCAAAGTTTAGGCCTCTAGTCTTTTCCATGGAACTCAACAGCATGTCAAGTCTTGGCACTGTGTGCTGGGAATGTAATGTCTTTTCCCTAATGTGATTAGTTATCAGAGCATACGTATATGGTTGGGGGTAGAGGGCACAATGTTTTCTTTTGAAAATTATAAAAATCTGGAGTAGGATGGTTCACAAGGTACCACTTTTCAGTGCTGCTCCTTCCCTGGAGCATTTATTTTGCCAGTATAAAGGTTCTCCTCTCCCCCACTCCAGACACTTCACATGGTCTGGGGGTCTTTCACCCAGCTACAGTAGTCTCCAAAAGGAAAAGAAGTTGAGGATTGCTTCCTTATGCAGTGATAGGGTGTCTCTTCCTTTTGGCCTGGGAGCAACAAGGAGTCAGTCAGGGCCCTGGGGAGAGGGTAGCTTGGTTCCTAACATTGGAGCCCGGGCCACCTCCCCTAGACCACTGGTTGCTCCGCACTTAGCTCCAGTTGGCAGAAATAGATTGTAAACTTGTTGACATTTTTGTCCTCTTTACAGTTCATTGTTTATTTTTCCGTGGCAGAGAATTTTGATGCAATTATCACTGAGCTTTCTGACAAAAGGGAACTAGCTAAGGAATTTTGATGAGTTACCCACTTCATTAATCAGAACAAGCATCTCTAGTGACAGGGTTAAAATTACAATGAAGATTAGGTAGCAAATTGCTGTTCCGCCTAACGTCAGTCATCCCGGTGACAGCGGTATGATTACACTTCAGGAGAGAGCTTTCTTGCCAACACAACGAGGGCAACTCCAGTGCAGGTAATAAATTTGGCAGGGCGAACTGTCATTTCTTCTCTTGAGCAGAATCCTTAATGACTAAATAAATGATGTCTTGTTGGAGATTTTGAGAAGAGAAAAGCATTTCACTTAAGAAGTTTCCAAATTTCATTTTGTAGTGTTTTATTTTCAAAATTATTATAGATATGTACTTAGAAACAGTCCTTCCCACAGGGGTTTTCAGTATTTTATTGACCTATATCAAGCCTTAATTATCACCCCAACTGTAAAGAGATGTGGAAGTTAGTAAAAGAATACATGACTATACAGAGGTGGGCAAAAGTAGTTTTACAGTTTTAAGTATGTAAAGCATGGAGTTTATTCTTATATTATTATTTATTTATTAATTGTATTATTATTATTAATCTACTTTTGCCCACCCCCTGTATTTGACATTCTATCAGAAATAAAAGCATGGTGCAGAAATAACTGAACTAGGTAAGAAATGGAGAGAGGTCAGACTAGTTGTCTGGCTAATTAAAACATTAAGTTCTAGCTTAAACAGAATGTATTCCTCTTCCAACCCCGTCGTGTTTTAAATACTAGTACTGTTTCAGATTGCTAAGAGATAAAGCACTACTATGGTTCCAGCAAGTAGAACTGAAAAGGAGAAACAGGCCTAGGAGCAGCAGGAACTCAGCTGGGCAATAGAAAGGACATAGATCATGACTGTGGACGTGTGCCCTTCTCGCCCCTTCTAAATCCATCAGAGTGCTTGCGTCTCCCAGAGAAGATGGAGACTATTTTCCTCTCCCAAATATGTTCCTCTAAGCACAGTTATGGGATTCCTATTTGCCTGAATAATGCTTGCTGTGAATCAATAACTAAGCAGCTATTCTTAATTCATACTTTTATTTTTTTATTAAAATTTTAATGGGATTGCTTTTTTGAGTAGGCAGGAAAAAACCAATAGCAAGCTGATTTTAAGAAAGCTACCATTTGTGACAACATGGATGGATCTTGAGAATATCATGCTAAGCGAAATAAGTCAGACAGAAAAAGTTAGGAACCATATGATTTCACTCATATGTGGAATATAAAACCGAAAGCAAACAAAAACTCAGACAACAGTGTTGGTTACCAGCAGGAAGGAGGTGGGAGGTAGTAAAGGGTAAAGGGGGTCAAATATATGGTGACAGAAGATTTGACTTTGGGTGGTGGGCACACAATGCAGTTGTACACTTTGAAACCTATATAATCTTATTAACCAATGTCACCCAAATGAAATTAATTTTAGAAAAAGAGAGGCAACATTAGCCCTAGGGGGAAAAAAGAAAGCAATTGCCAAATGGGTCTGTCACTTTGCAGGTGTTAACTTCTATGTAGTGAAAGTGAATGATAGATCTTTAAAACTGATCATTTTGCTCTCAAAGTTTAAACTTAAGTATTTATAAGTAAATTGATGGTAGAATTTATAAACTCAAATTTTGCCCTTAAATTCAGATATGTTCTAGCAGTGCTTTTCTAGACATAGTAAATTATATATCAATTATTTCTCTTTCATTAGTAAAAAAAAAGCAAAGAATTTGCCTTCCTTTTGAGGAGAGATTTTTTGCCTACGAGATTAGGGTCGTCAGGATGCCAGAATGTTTCAGTTTTAGCCTTGGGTGTACCACTAACTTTTTACTTTGTGACTTTAGTCATTGGCCCTTTGCTACATGAAGTTTAGCTTGGAAAGGTAAGTTATAATGATATCTGCAGTCTCCGTTTTGTAATGATGGTCTACAAATTAGTAAAATAGTACATGTAAGGTGCTTTGAACTTTACAGAGAAAAGGAATGTAGAAACCCAAGAAGGACACTATTAATAGTGTTATTGTCAAAGTGGATTATGTTTGTGCTATTTTTTCTTAGAAATATTCCAGGAGTTAAAAATCAGGTCATTCAAGAGAAATCTCTTAAATGAATCTGGTAAATAGAGAATATTTTCTTTTGACTATGGCACACAAGTGAACACTTTTTTTCATGCTGTATTTTGTGGGATAAACAGATGACAATGCAAAAAGCATACCCCCTCCACCTGGCAGCTGTGTCTCTTCCTTGTATGACTGCAGGATATCCTATATTCAGCAAACCTCCCTTCTCTCATTGCTCTCTTCCTCTCTTGTTCCACTATCTCTCCCTCCTTGAATGGAATCTGAGGTAAAGGTCCAGAAAATGTGCCTCGTTTGATATAATAGAAAGGGAACAAGGGCTTTTTAAAGTTTTCTGTGGTTTCTCCTGATGGGAAATGAAGATTTTGTAGTCTGTCTAAATGGGAATATGACTGGTTTCCTACATAGAAAATATTTCTGGCCAAGTGGCCTGTTTCTAAAAATTCTAGCATATACTCCCTTATGTTATTGGTCTTTTAATTTATATATTCTCTCTCCCTATAACACCTCAAAATCTACATCTTAAACAACTTTGCTCAGAGTTCCAAAATTCAAACACAGTGCTTACTAAATGTTTAAATAGTGAAAGATAAGTATTTTTATAAAGAAAGAAGCAGTAAATCAGGCTGACTCTGGGAAAGCTACCAAGTTCTCGATGCTGGTCATCAGGCATCCCTCATCCCTCCCACAAATGTTACTTTCCAGTTTAGTGCTCCACACACTTAATAATGCTCCCATATTTGCCATTCGCATTTATGGGCCCCAGGCCCTTCCTTCCAAAGGCTCACAGCCTAGTGGAAATCAGTGAACAGGTGATTATAGTGCAGTATGTTAAGTGTCTTGACTGAAGAAAGCATAGGTTGCTCTGGAACACAGTGGAAAGGCACTGACATTTGGGAAGAGTGGTGAGTAGTAGGAGGGCTCCCTAAGAGAGGTGACTCCTGAAGTAGTCAGGCAGAGAGAGGACAGAAAAGGACAGCGACATTAGGATCACCATAGATAGAAAAGTGAAACAGGATGGTTGATGTAAGGCCAAGAGATGAAAGTAATTTGTTGTACTAGGAACGTACAGTTTGCTGTGAAGATAGAAGATATAGACAAGGACTAGATCTCAGAGGTCTTCTTAGACTAGGGCCATGAGTACCACTCTAGGACATCCTTAGGGTCAGTAGACCTTGTCTGATTTATTGTCACATGTATATAGTGTAAGATTGCAAGCAGCCTGAGTAGTCTCTCTAGGCCTGCTCAACCAAGGCTCCAACGTAGTCAGTGGTAGCCCAGCTGAAGCGACTGTTTTTAGTTGTCTTGTTCCCAGGGACCAGAGAACCCATCCCATCCTTATGGGATCTCCCATCTTCATTTGTGCAGCGGAGTTAGTAATAGGAATGAGTTAAGTGGTTAGTATTTTAAACTCCAAGACAGCCTGGTAGGTGAGATCCTGTTGGAAGCAGGTCTTTTAAGCCTCTCAAACAAGCCCTTTGACTTAGATCTTTGATGTGACTGTAACTCCAGCTCTGCATAGAACTGGTGCCTTACAATGAGGATTAAGTGTTTTAGTTTAAGTCATGAGGCTGAGTGCCTTAGTTGCATGACTTGAATATTTCTTGTCATTATTAGCATAAAGCAATTGCACCTGGCCTCTTTCCCTTCCATTAAGACAACAGTTCCTAGTTTTGTGAGAAAAAGTGTGCGGGGGAAATCTGAGGAGAGGGCTCTATTACCTATTAGAAACACTAGTGCTGATCAGTGATGTTCCAAATGTTTCCATTGTAGTGTCAGAAACGCTATTTCTCTGCCTGGCACAAGCTGATTCTTGACCACAGGATTAAGCTGGGGAAAGCTGGGTCCCTGTCCGACTGGAAGTTTCAACTGAAGGTCCTGAGGGCCTGGAGAGACTACACGAGATCTCAGAGGCTGGAGCGGGAGACACAAGCCATGGAGAATGAGCTCAGGGAAGAAAACAGGTACCATCATTTATACCATGAAAATCCTTCTAGTGTACTTATCTAGGACAGCTTTCCTCCCGAAGAATCCAGAAATGAACTCTCAAAACACTGTTCACTGGAACCATCTCATCTGCTTATAAAATGTGCTAATCACTGTTTTCCTATGTTGCATCCCAAACTAGAAAAATTTAATGGTAAATTATAAGCAAAAAAATTATTTGATTAAAATATTCAAATAATGTCCATGCTTTCCTTTTTAAAGGAAGCGAGTATAGTACATGCTTTTTCCCTTGTCCTCATTGCACTTGGACCATCTCACAATTCAAAACACAGAGCTTGGTTTATATGCCAATAACTCACATTGGTAGAAATCACTCTCTGCACATAGAATATTAATTAGGGACACAGGGAACATCCATCTGGGAGGGCAGACCTGCCAAGAGTGATTCCTCCCATTCCCCATCTTTTGTTCCTCATCTTATGTAGAGGCTTTGACACCTTTATATCAACTCTTACTCTTATGAATGACAGAATTTGTCTTCAAATAAAACTTTCTTTGCTCCGTTATCTTAAAATTAAATACATTCTGTTTTTTTCATTTCCAATTTAACTTTGCATTCTTGAACCACAACCATAGATGCAGAAGGGACAATTTGTTTAATTTGGGAGAGGGCAGTTCATGTTTTTATGTTTGCTCACTTCTCTACCAGCAACTCTGGTATTCATTCAGGGTGAAAAACTAAACAAATGATATATGAAAGCATAGTTATGTAGAAGAGAATGGCACTCCCTGGAGTTGTACAACCGCTTGACAGCATTAGGCCCTGGGGAAGGTACAGTAGGAGACTGACTAGGCCCTGGGGAGGATATGGTAGGAGACTGATGCATGGCTCCTTGTCCTCAAAGAACTCCCAATTTTGTGTGGAATACAAGATCCAGAAACAGTAGGGATACTGAGTAACATTATAAACTGCATAATGCATCCCCTTCTGATGAGACCTTAGCAGAGGGAAGTGTCGTTGTGACTGAGGGGGTTCCTACAGAGTTTTATTAAGAAGATGGGTCTTGCCCGGCCGGGCGTGGCTCAGCGGTTGAGCATCGACCTAGAATCCAAGAGATCAGGGTTCGATTCCCGGTCAGGGCACATGCCCGGGTTGTGGGCTCGGCAGCTGATCAATGACTCTCTCATCATTGATGTTTCTATCTCTCTCTCTCCCTTTCCTTTCCTCTCTCTGAAATCAATAAAGATATGTTTAAAAAAAAAAGAAAAAAAAAGAAGATGGGTCTTGAGCTGGGCTCTGCACAATAACTAGGATGTTTCTCAGTGGAAGTGGGGTGACAAGGTGATGGCATGGAGTGTAGCCATTCCAGATTGGCTAGAGATCATCAAGCGTGTAGTTGTAATATTCATCAACTTGCAAAAGGCCTTGAATGCCAGGACAAGCAGTTTAGATATTCTTTTATAAATAAAGGCAGATTCCTGAAGGTTTTTAAGCAGGAGGGTGACCTCATCGTTTTTACTTTCTAGAGTATGCTGGGGAAAATCTTCAGTCAAAAAAAAAGGTCAACATAACATAGAGAACTCTTCCATAATTCATTTCTAAGCTCTCAGGACCTAGTGAAAGATATAAGGGATTGGGATGATAGTCTAATTGAAAAAGGAATGGCTGAAAAAGGATTTGTTGGATAAAGAAGGGAAGCTGGAGGTGTTATAAAAGGGAAGCAACATGAGTGAGGGCATAAAGGAAGTAGAAACTGAGATGTTAAAGTTAAAAGTGGCCTGTGAAATTTACATGCCAGAAGAAACTTATAGAAGAAAAATCTAAAGAACGTGAGATTCCATTCCAATTAAACTGTTTAAATATAAAAACACTAAATGGGAATTTCATAATAGCATAACGGGCCAATTTTTATTAAGATCTCAGAACTTTCTGTCTCATATCTGTGAATTATTTTCAGGTGTCTATTTTTAAATGTTCAGAATGGGTACTACTTTTTTTTACACTGCAAGAGATGGAAAGTATTTAACTTATAATAATGTTTTACTACAAAATTTTAGAGCAAAGATATCTTAGAGCAGAAAGACACCTCAAGGATTGTCTAATCCAGTCCCTCATTTTACGGATTATAAAAGACCCAGAGAGGGTAAACAACTATCTCTAGGTCATAAAGTTAAGCTAGTCCAGGACTAGATCCTGGTCTTTTTTGTACTGAGTCAGATACTTTATCCTATACCACAAAACTCCTATGTTAAGTAGCTTCCAGGTGATGGTTCCCTAAGACCAATCATGTTTTTCAATTATATTGTAATTTACTTTAGATGGTTGCAGATGAAAAATAAGAGCAGTAATTAACAAATGACAAGTCATGCTAGAAACATATGAGAAGAAAGGGTCTATTAGACATATACTGTACTTTGTGCTGCTTTCCTACAAATCCCTGACTCTGCATCTTGTTCTTTGTTCTAGAAATTGGTTAAGGATATTAAGTTGGATGGTTTTGTTTAAAGAAGGTTGGGATGTTAAAGGTGGAGAAAAAAGCTCAGAGGTAGCTGCTGCAAACAGTAACCAAGAAATGTCAGTGGGATTGAAGGTGTGAGGTAGTCCCCATTTCCAGCATTCTTTTGGGCAGTCATTTATGGAGCCCCTCTATTAATCATGTTACATTGCCCTTCCCTCCATGCTCACCTGGGTACCCAAGTGAGAGGCCAGAAACTGAGTGGCATCTGAAGCTTGTAAAGCTCCTGGTATGTCTGTCAGAGATGCAGGAGGACAGGACTTGCATTATTTGACTCACTTTAAAGCCCTAAAACAGAACTGTTATCTCCCACCTTTTCTCTGGGGGCTACCTGGTGGATTATTGAATACATGGGCTTTTTTCATTCCTATTCCTACTGAAGCTGCTCATTCCAAATGCAGCTGTTTGCATCGTTGCTGTTTTTATGCTCTGCATCAGATCTTGGCATGCAATCAGATCACTAGTATGTGGTTATTTATTTGTCATTTGTCATTTTTCGTTATTTTTTTGATCATCATTTATCCCCCCCCATGCCCTCCTCCACCTTCACCCACCCCCCTTAACCCTCTCAGTCACCACACTGCTATCCATGTTCATGAGCTCATTCTTTTTTCTCATTTTCTTTTCAAAATTTCAAGACACTCTTTAGATATCTAGAATTGTCCTAAGATAGTGTTATTACCTTAAAGGAAAATTTGTTCTATATGTTCAGGTTCTTTTATTACGTAGATCTTTATTTTTAAAAATTCCTATAGGATAGGTAGTATAGGGCTTTTTTAGGGTGACATCATTTTGAGAAGGAATCTGAAGCTTAAAACTTTCAGTCACTTGCCCAGTGTCCCATATATATAGTGTTCTGACTTCTAGGTTCTATAATACGCACCAACCACTAAGTGTCATTTGAGGTGTTGGTTCTAAGCATCATGGTTCATATTTAAATTCCTATTTAAACCTTTATTTTTATATCCTTAGGTCTTTAGAGATGGCCTTTCTCTGCATGCAGTTATATAATTGTGATGATTGGTTTATATATTCTTGCCAGAAATTCCTTGATTTCAGCTCGGAAACATACTGGGACAGGATGTTTTCCATGCAGGAATTCTCTCCTTCATTCTGTGATTATTTGGGGACTGTGTCTAAAACCATTTCTTTAGCCTAGCATTCCCAAGTAAATCTCATCTGGTTGAGCTTTTTGAGAAATTTAAGTGATTTTTCACTTTCAGAAATATTTATACTTTTAGTGCCATCTTTTTAAAAGAATAGAAATTAGCCTATCTGGAATATCGTTGCTCTGTTGAAGTGAACTGCAAGGACTCCGGGGTAGAACCAGCCTTGTCCCTGGATCTCTAACTTCTGTGTTTCCACCCTTCTACCTCAACCCACAAACACAGACTTCTTAAATAGACCTTCAAGTTGCCTGCACAACTGTTATATATAGTAGGCTCTAAGCACTATAGTGAACATGCATTTTTTGGGTATCTATTTTCTTACTATTTAGTGTTTTTGTTATACTTACAAAAATATTTTTCTCTTTGCCTTCTCATAGTGTCCAAATAATCTCTTCCCTGAGTCAAAACCACAGTGTTGTTTTGGCTGTTAGGCTGTAAAAACATGAAATTAACACATCAGGTAAATTTCACACTCCTTTCTGAGCAGATTGATGTAAATCGAATTTCACATTAATCAGAGCAATGTACATCCTCTCTCCTGTGAAAATTTGTGATTTTCACTTAATTATGTAAAGTGCTATAGGGTTTTTGGAGCTTTTTTTTTTTTTTTTTTTT